GGGTTCCTTGAATACTGTATAAAACCTTGATGTTATATAAAATGTTTATAGATAGGCAGTGGCTGTGTTGTTTGTTTTTCCCTTCTTATTGCCATGTTATATTTCTTATGTTATTATGGAAATATTATTGTTCAAGCTCTTTCTCAAAAAAAAAAAAAAGGAAAAAAGAAAGAAAAAAATTATTGTTAAAGCTATACTAGGGCTTGTTTGGATAACAACTAATTTTATCAAAATTAGATTATTTTTTCTAAAACTTAAAATGTTTTGCATGATATTATTTTGTTAGCTGTTTGGTTTCTATATAATATTCTGTACACTATTAATTATTTGGTAACTCGATCCCTTTATTCTCTTCTTTCGACATCTCAAAAGCTATTTACAGCTAACACCCATAAAAATTTTTTTTTCTACAGCTAATGACCATAAATGTGTTTGTCTCTCCAACATCCCCCACCTCTCTCTCTCTCTCTCACACACACACACTCTCTCTCTCTCTCATTCTATCACCCATAAATCTCTTTCTTGGTCTGTTTCACTTGTCATCTCTCTTTTCATCGTCACAACTCTCAAATTGTCTCTCTTGTTTCTTCCTTGGGCACTGTGAAGAAGATTCAGAATTAGAGTGAATATCCTAGAGAGAGAATCATTGAAAGTTGCATAGAGAGACTGAGTTAGTGAGGGAGAGGCTGAGTTAGAGAGAAGATTCTAGAGATAGAGAACAAGTAAAGTAAAGAGGGAGAGAGAGTGGATAAGCGAGAATGTCCTAGAGAGGCAGAGTAAAAGAGAGAGTAGAGAGAATGAGTGAGGTTTTTTGAGAGAGAAAGGTGAAGGTTTAGGGAGTGAAATACGAAGCCACCTGAAACCCAAAGTCCCAAGCCAAAGCCCTACAAAATGGTAACGTTATATATTGAATAAAGTAAAAACTACTGTTTGAAGAGACCAACTTATATGGAAAACAAATAAACAAGTCTATCACAAATAATTTTATAAGGATGCCATCAAACAATGAGAAAGTCGTTATGCTGAGTAATTTTATTGTAACACTGAACTAGTAGTGATAACAAGTGCATCCAAACAGGCTGTTTTTGTTCTTATATGATCTAGAAGGAAAAGTAGTGTTCTTTATTTCTCATGATACATTTCTTTACTGGCCACATGCTTCATTATGAGTTAGAAATAATTATTTTTTTATTGTTAACTGTAATTTTCAGTGATTCTATTAAAATTATAGATTAAAATTCAGAAATCATCAATTAAAGTATACTGTAATGAATGTTTGACACTAGGGTATTATGTGTGCTTGTCTTTTTTCTTTGTAGTTATGATATAATGGATTTTTTATTATTGAGTATTAAATACTCCGAAATTTGAACAGACTAAATGCACCAAACTTCAAATACTAATTTGGAATAATTTGAAAACTATGACATAGATACAAATGAATATAATAAGAAAATAATAAAAGGATCACATGATTGGATATCTTGGTGATGTTGTCTACTCTCATTAGTTAGCTAATATCTTTTTTTGTTGACTTCTGAATTCTGATGCCTTTCTTGTGTAGAGAAAGAGACCTGCTTAAAAGCGAGTTAATTTTCCTCTGGATTTATAGGCTTGTTGCAAACCAGGCTATTTGTAGCCGTCTTACAAAATCTCCCAAAAGGGATGTTTAGTTGATCATCCTTGTATTTGATGAACAAAATTTTTTTTTGATGGAATGGAACTTGAGACGTTGGGCTATGAAAGGCTAGCCTCTACCATCTTGACCCAAACACGTTTCCTTTGATGAATGGTTTGTATTTGTTGAAGTTGAATATATTTGGTCTATCTTGTGTACCCCTTTATGGAAAGAATGAGAGACCTGCGTCTAGAGCAACTTGACTTGTTTATTGATTATCTACAAACCTATGGTGCATTGCAGTTCATCAAGGATGGGGTTCTAATGTGAAACACTTTCGCTTAGATAATGGAGACCTGGTTCTGGGTTATGTTTTTGGAAGGATTTGACGTAGTTTTATACGGATATTACCGGGCGATAGAGTGAAAATTGAAGTAAGTCGTTATGATTCAACCAGGGGACGTATTATTTATAAGTTTTGCAACAAAGATTCGAATGATTAGACGGCTTTTGAACTGCATCTGACCCTCAAGTCTTGAGGTTTTGATAGTCACTTTTGTGGGTGGAGCTCATTTTCTTTGAGGGTGACCTATGTTTAGTGGTCTGTAGATCACGACCATTTGGAATCACTTCAGTGCCAACTCTTTAGTAGTGATGTATAGTTTTAGAGTTAATTTCATTTTATTATCTACAAACCTATGGTGCATTGCAGTTCATCAAGAATGGGATTCTAATGTGAAACACTTTCGCTTAGATAATGGAGACCTGGTTCTGGGTTATGTTTTTGGAAGGATCTGACGTAGTTTTATACGGATATTACCGGGCGATAGAGTGAAAATTGAAGTAAGTCGTTATGATTCAACCAGGGGACGTATTATTTATAGGTTTTGCAACAAAGATTCGAATGATTAGACGGCTTTTGAACTGTCCTGGGTAAATTGTCATTATGAATATTGTGTTTAAGTTAGGACTTTTTGGATCATTTTAGTTATTCTATGGATACTTAATGTCTTTGAACATTAAATAGAATATAAATAGAGGTGTGTGGGGGCTTTTAAGTTAGTACTTTTTGGATCATTTTAGTTATTTTATGGACACTTTATGTTTTTAGCATTAAGTAGAACATAAATAGAGGTGTGTGGGGGCTTATGGCTCCTTCCACATGATTTTTAGAATTTAAAAAGAGGGAAATTTTGGAACCCTAGCTTGGGGTGAGGGGGAAACCCTAGGTTTCTCCACGTTATTACTTGTTTTTGGCTTGAAAAACTTCTTGTTTTTTCTGTTCTTCAAATTTTCCTACATCAATTTGGTATTAGAGTTCAAGTCTTTTTCAACAACAAATTTGGTAAACTACAACCAACTTTAGGGTTTGCTGATTTTGGGCCAAGTTTTGCCAAATCAGCCTAGATCTCGCTGATTTCAGCAAGGTTTTGTTGGTTCTCTGCCTAGGGCTTGTGATATTGATGAACCTATTGCAGTGAGAAGGGACCGTGGAAGGAGGTTTTTACGGACCCACTTCATGATCCCATAGATGAAGAAATTAAGGAATTTAAATGGCAAGTTCAGCAGTTGAGGCAGTAGTTTGTGAGCATCATTAATGTGAAAGACAATGATTTGTATGCCCAAGAAGATGTTGGATACAGCCCTTTTCGTGTCTGTGCTGCGTGTGAAGAGTCAGTGAAGAGGCAAGTGATAGAAGACCTAGACGTAGGGAACATCACTCAAGGGTTTTCGATTTGAAGGAGGACGTTCTTGATTTTAATCCAGGTTGTATGGAAAATCAGTGGGTTGTAGATTGGCATTTGCCACCAATTTTCTGTACATGCTTAGATGAAGAACAAGATTTTCGTGGTAGAATTGATTTTTGACGAAGAAAGAGATAGACTCTAAGGAGAATCAATAGGTGAAGTTGGTTCGACCATTGAATCCATTGCTTATCTCAAAGATGCACGAGGTTTGTTCTAGGGCTGGGCCTGGGTAATTTCAACAGAGTTATATGGCTGAACTGATGCAATTTCAGCAAGTTTATGTGGCTAAACAGACTCCATCCACATACTTTAACCCTTTCCTTGAGGGTTTCTTAAAAGTGTTTATGAAAATATTAATTGATTTCAAAGGTCCAACCTCAATGCATAGTCGTTGTGTATTGATTGGCCTAATAAACTACTAGTCTAAGGATTCGAAACGTAATATTCGGGTTGAAGAAGATTGTGGAACTAATGTGTAATACATCTTAGTCTATTTCAAAACTCGATGACGTATTTTTTTTCCAACCAGGGGAGAATGATGCAGGACAAATAGTTCTTATTTTTCAATTTTTATTCAATTTTAAATGATGTATATTTTAATTTTAGATTTAGGATTTATTTTTAGGGTTTTTAAGTGTTTTAGGAATTCTATTTCTTTTTAACTATTCACGAAGTTATTATTCACAGGTACTGTTTTGCATATACTATTTATTGGGGGGACTATTCACAGGGTAAAATTGTCACTACAAATTTTGTGTTTAAGTTGGGATTTTTTGGATCATTTTAGTTGTTGTATAGACATGTAATGTTCTTTGAACATTAAACAAAATATAAATAGAGGTGTTTGGGGGCTTATGGCTCATTCCATGTGATTTTCAGAATTGAAAAAGAAAGAAAAGCTTGGGCGTTTGTAACCCTAGCTTGGGGTGAGGAGGAAACCCTAGGTTTTTCCTTGTTATTGCTTGTGTTGGCTTGAAAATCTTGTTGTTTTTGCTATTCAAATTTCCGTACATCAATTTTCTTCGTCTTGTTCATAATTTTTGAACAATGATAATAGTTAGACATGGGATTAGGCATCAAATCCCAGGCTGTTAAAAGTTCTCTTTTGACACTATTAAAGGACCTGTGCTTGCCATATTAAAGAATCAGAGTTGTGGGTATTCCCAATGTTATTGTTAAACCATTGCCTCTGGTCAAATCCAAATCAATTAATTTATTTTGTTAGTAATTTTTCATTTATAAATTTTTAGTGAAAATTAAACCGCATTGATCATATTTTCTCTGGAGTTCTCTTACTACCCCAGAGTCTTACTCACATCATTGCAATGTGTGATGTGCTGAATATGTTATCGTAGAGGAGCATTATCATGCTATTCATATGCCAAATCTTGGAATTTCATGTTTGTGTGGTTCTTCACAATCACAGGCAGTCCTTGTTTACGATTATATGGTTATCTAACAATTGATTGTTTCTGGTGCTTTATCTATCTTGTTGTAGTAGTAGTCTATATTCATGCCATAATATGAAATATTATCATGGATCCTTTGGGGATACTCAGATTAATATCTTGAATGTGATCTCATCAGCTCATATTCTTGCATTTCCTAATAGTCATATGCTGGCTTTGTTGCAGAGACATATATGATAATCTTCTGCTCCATATTCCCTCTAAAGTTTGAAATGATGTGACTGAAGCTTGGAAGCAACAATTAAGAGCTTGAGAACCAATCATGAGGTTGGAAGACTTCTTTACTTTGACTGAAATGAAGGATGGCCTTTCAAGCCTTTCTAGAGTTGAGGAACTGGTTTCTGTGATGCAGCAGGAGAAAGACTCTGCTGTAAATAATTTCAGTGATGCACCAAGGCAGTGGTCTAGCGTTGCAAGTATCATAGCAGCAACAGAAAGCCATAATTGTCTGAATCATTTCCTCCGTTTAGGTGGGTTGAAGTTCTTGGATCAGTGGCTTCAGGAAACTCATAGACATAGTAATGATGAGAATGATGGTTCCATTGAAGAATCAGTGAGTGCCCTACTAGGGGCCCTTGGGAAGCTTCCTATAGATAGTGAAACGTCAGCCACTTCTGGAATCGGGATCACAGTTGAGTGTCTCCGTGGTCACAAAAGCTCGGTGATCAAGCAGAGGGCATTTAAATTGCTTGATAGTTGGAAGAGGGCGAGGGATTTAGATACAGTAGAAAATCAAGTAGCCATGGATGGGAACTCATGTCAGGATGAAAAGCATAATAAACTTGTAACAAAGACAGGTGCCAACTTATCAAAAATAAGCACCGATGGAGGAGAGAGCTCAACCCTTGAATCTGCTAAACAGGAATCTACTGGCCCCAAAATCGAGAAAATAGATTGTGAATTAGCCTCTGTGGTTTCCCATTCAGGAGTCATTTCCGAGGGAGCTGCTGCGTTGCCTGGTTTAGATAAGTCTGGGAAAGTCCCTGATGTTGCAAATGTTGGTGATCCATGTCTACCAGGCTCTGCTGCTATTGTAGATCGTGGTTGTAGAAGCTTCCAATCCATTGAAGAAGCATGTCTTGTAAAAGGCTGGACTAGTGCTGCTGGTTCTGGCCAACAGAGTGAAAGCAATGTTCATGAGAAGACTTCTAATCAGGCAGAATCAGGGGGTTATGCATCTGCTGGTTCAGGCCATCTTTTGAAACTAAGAGAAAACATAGTTCATGAGAAGTCACCTAAGAAGGTAGAATCAGGGGGGACTAATTCTACCAGTTCAGGCAATCCTCTGAATCCAAAGGAAAATATTTTTCATGAGAGGAGTCCTAAGAAGGCAGAATCAGCTGAGATTAATTCTACTGGTTCAGGACTTCCTCTGAAAATAACAGAAGACACTGTTCATGAAAAAACTTCTGGCAAGGCAGAATCAGGTGGGACTAATTCTGCTGGTTCAGGCCTGCCTTTGAAGCCAAGAGAAAACAATGCTCATGAGAAGACTCCTAGTAAGGAAGAATCGAGTGATCTCGATGGCATTCTGAAGGACGCAATGGAAGTGAAAAAGGAGGGTACTCCTTGCAAAGATGTGCTGGCTCTGGGTTCCAATAATAAAGAAAATTTTGGTGGTTCACTATCAACTCGTGAGAGGTCGCATACAGAAGTTGATCTCTCATGCAATACTGATACCATTGAGATGGATTCTTCTGCAAAGGAGGTAATGGCTGCTTCTCTTGGCACCCAAATTGTTCGAAAGGAAAATAATGGAAGTGGGTCATCTCTTTCTCAAATGGAGATGACTGAAAATGTACGACCTGGTGATCGGGCTACTGAAAGTAAGGGTGCGCAAGAAAAGCCAGGCTCTCTAGGTAAGACCTCCCAAGGTTCAGAAGTCTTCGGGTCAACTAAGATCCTTAGAGGACCGAGCAGGGAATCAAACCCGAGGTCGAATAAGCGTCCCAAAAAGTTGAAACCAGACATCATTCAAAAGGAGTTAGAAGAAGATAAGACTCGAACTGGGGTGTTTGAAATGGAGCTCGACTATGGGGTGGATGATGCACTAGAAGTGGCAAGGAAGGTTGCAAAAGAAGTGGAACGAGAAGTTGTAACTTATAGAGAGCTCCCATATAGCTCATCATCTGAAAAGAATGAGATTGGTGAGACAATGCATCAAACCAGTAGTGCTGACTCGAAACAACAAAAGCAAGTAGATCCATCCTTTGATGCAACCGAATCATCATCAGCTATGCTGGACGGTTCCTCCTCTCCCAAGTTAGAAGCATCAGATGCCAAACCCAAAGATCATGACTCCTCTCAAAGCCCCACTGATACCTTACCAAACCAGGAAGCTGCAGACAAAATTGAAGAGCAAAAATGCGTATTTGACCTGAATGAGGTCATCCACACTGAAGAGAACGAGTGGCTTACCATCTCCACCGTCTCTGTGCCTATTGCTGTGGTTCCCCCGAAGGGGCTTCCCAGCTTGGCCTCTGTCCCTTTACAGTTTGAAGGGGAGCGTGGATGGAAGGGGACTGCTGCTACCAGTGCCTTCCGCCCTGCATCGCCACGCAAGAATCTTGAAAGTGAAAAGATGGCTTCGACCAATGATGTAAAGCAACTAAAGTTTGACCTCAATGTAGTGGATGCAGATGAGGAGATTGGTGTTTATGTTGGTGCCCATGTCCCTGCATCGTCGAGCTTCCGGTCCCCGGCATCGTCATCTGTGGAGGTGAGCTCTCGGAGGACGGAGGCGCTCAAGCTTGACCTCAACAGCGTTGATGAAAATGACGGCAGCTGCCCCCAGTCCCCAATTTCTTCCTCTGTGAGGCAACGTGCCATGAGAGACATCGATCTCAATGACAACCCATATTTTGTTGATCTGTCGAGCAATGGTGGGCCAGTTGGGAAGCTTGATGACCCCGTTGTCTCGATCATGGGGTCTGTGATTTCTGGGGGTGGGAGAGTTGGCAGTCCTCCAATGGCCCTGCCTTTCCCGCCACCACCGCCACCGGCACTTCAGTTTGGGTTCAATGGGCTTACAATGGGGCCCGCCATATCTATACCTTCAGGCTTGTACCCACCTGGTCATGTACCTTACATGGTGGACTCAAGAGGGGCAGCAGTTATTCCCCAAGTCATAGGGTCATCAATGTCAAGGTCGCCACCTTTTTTTATGAGTGTTGGGGGTGGCATTGCAACAAATGGGATTGGTTTTGTTCGGCCGCCAAATTTGGACTTGAACGTGAGGGGAGGAATGGCAAGTGGAGGGGAGGTGGAGGGGCAAAGAGAGGGAGAGGGTGGCGGTTTGAGGCAGCTTTTTGGTCAGGGGCAGCAGGTGGACGAGCAGTTCAAGTCCTTCCAACCTGCCACAACGTCTGGGGCCTCTCTCAAAAGGAAGGAACCAGATTGCGGCGGATGGGAATCTTATACAGTTGGATACAAGCAGGCTACTTCGTGGCATTAGATGAACAGACCAATCTTTCCTTCAGCTTAAACACCCAAAAATTTGTTTTGCATTTCTTTTCTTTTTTAAATTTCATCTTTCTATAGGGGGAAAATGTTGGGTAGTAAGTAAAGGTAGGGATGAGGCTCTTATTGTTATTCCCGGAATAAGGTGGGGTTTGATTGTTTCCGGTGTTTGGGCTCCTCTGACCACAGGTTTTATTTGTTTCGATGGAAGCAATAGCACCCGGAAACGGGGTTCCTCTTTCTGTAAATTTTACCCATAAGGTATCATTCTAAAAAATATGAAAAGGAATTCAGTTCTTATGCTCTTGAAGATACGAGGAACTCAGTTTCAATAGCCCCTTTTTGGTTTCTGTTGCCATCCTTTGCTTGAAAAGTAATTCAAAATTTTTACTTATTTTTGGACGCATGCTGGGGGGATTGGAACCTTGGACATCATGCTGGAAGCCAAGAGATTAATCCCCCAATGTGAGAGGAGGCATAAGTGTAATTTCAAATTTTTGTACACATATATAACAGGTTTTTGTCAAACTTTGGTCAGATTTAAATGCCGGCCAGAATTTTAACCAATGTTATATTCACTTCGGATCTTGGTATTTCGGCTGATTTTGGGGGAATATTTATTTATTTTATATAAATAAAAATCTATTTTTTGCAATATAAAAAAAAAAAATCTAATTCTTAAAAATTTAAAAATATCAATACTACTTTTGCTTTGATCCCTGTCAAAGTTTGTGAGGTGGAATTGTTTTTTTTTTTTTACAAATAACCCTCAAGACTCGATTTTCTATGCAAGTTATTTCCAACTAAATTTTTTTTTTCAATTTTTTTTTAAAATACGTTTTTTCTAGTAAATACCCCCAAAGTAAAAAAAAGTATATTTTTTTAATGAAAATATATTTTTTCATACATAAAAGTTTAATTTTTGGTGGACATTCACATGGGTTGCCGAATCGTTATTTGACATTGACGGATTCTGTCAAACTAAAAAAAGTGTAGGACTGCTCTTTGACATTGCCAGACTGCACTTTGGGTTTGTTGTCGGATTGCATGGGCTTGTTGTCGGACCGCATGGGCCTGTTGCCGGACCGCTCTTTGGCAGTGTTGGACCGCATGGGCCTATTGCCGAACCGTTCTTTGCCTGTGTCGGACCACCACTTGTACTGCCGGACCACCACTTGTACTGCTAGACTGCCACTATTATTTACTGAACCGATATTACACTGCCGGGGCAGCCCTAAGAATACGCCGGATTGCCTTTTCGTGGAAAAGAAGAGAGATACGAGGGTAAAACTAAGGGAGGGTAGTTTAGACTTTTTATCTATTTATTTTTGAGTTGGGGGTATTTGCTTAGAAAATATATTTTTAGATAAAAACGAGACAAAAAAAAGTTGGGTTGGAGGTAACTTATATAGGAAGTGGGTTATTTGTAATTTTTATTTTTTTTATTTTTAATATCTCTATGTGTCGAAGAAGGTAAGATTGCATTTTCCTTTTCGTACTTTCCATACGTGCCATTTACACATCCTTTTGCGCATTTTCCTTTTTGTGCTTTCCATACGTGCCATTTAACGGTTACACACCTTTGCTTTATACGTGGCAACAGGTAAACATCCTTTTGCTTATGGAAAGTTTAAAGTAGTAAGTACCAAAAGCCGTTCGCTTCGCTATGCAGCTAAATCCGAAAATACGGATGCTTCGCCCGAACCGAAGCGTGAGTGATACTTTTAAAAGAAAAAAAAAGAAAGAAAGAAAAGAAACGGCAAAACAGACGAAAAATAACAAGATTGACAGCCAAAAAAAAATGATTGAAAATTCAATGGAAAGGAGACAACATTATTAGAAACAAAGGAATATGAGAATCATAATTTCGAGAAGAGAATGGTTCCATTTTTATTTGTCAAGTAAGCATAAACCAGTCCTAAGTACAACGTGCGAATAGGTAGGAAAGCATACTCTGTTATGCACTTTGTGACTCGAAGACCGCATCATATTGCAAGTCTATACAAAATATAACGTGCTAGATGCCAAAAGGTAATTCGGCATATATAACAAGCTACATTCTTTTTTTTATTTTTTATTTTTTATTTTTTTTTAATTTTTTTGAGAGAAAGTTCAAAGATACTATACTACATTCTCTAGAAAACCAGACCTGTAGGCCTTCGACTTATGATGTTCAAGATAGGTTTACCACCCTACGAAGAAACATTTACTATAAAAATGACCCTTTCTATAAACGAAAGAACTTCCTACTCATCATCTCGGGAGAAAATTATGTAGATTTATTTTTTCTATTTGACCTGAATTAAATCACCTAAAAATTTAAGTCCCCTCTATGAAGAAAACATTTACTATAGAAATGACCCTTTCTATAAACAAAAGAACTTCCTACCCATCAGCTCGGGAGAAAATTATGTAGATTTATTTTTTCTATTTGACCTAAATTAAACCACCTCAAAATTTAAGTTTTAGAGAGATAAACTATCTTAAAAGTTTGAGAGAGAAATTATTTCAAATTATAAGTTTTAGAGAGAAAAACTATCTCAAAATTTTTAGAGAGAGAAACTATAACAAATTTTAAGCCTTAAAGAGAACCTATCTCAAGATTTTTAGAGAGAGAAACTATCTAAATCTCAAACCTTTTAAAGGGAGAAACTATATCAAAATTTTTAGATAAGCTATCTCACATTTGAAGTTTGAGAGAGAGAAACTCTCTCAAAATTTTTAGAGAAAGATTATCTCAAATTTTTTAGAAAGAAACTATCTCAAATTTTGAGTTTTAGAGAGATTTATAAACTGGTGTAATCATGTGTCAAGGCCTCCTTGATGCCTAAGAAGGAAGTGGATGAGTATAATGGATAGTTGTGCATCTCTGCAGGGATCTTTTCTTCATGAGCGTATATGGAGGCAAAGGACATTTATGGATGGCTTGGCTAAGCGAGGACTTGTTTATGATGTACTTGTTTTTTGAGATGTTGTACTTTGATTGATGAATAAAAGCAAGCAATTTTATCAAAACAAAATAGAGAGAAACTATTTATAGTTTCTAATAGAGAGGAACCATATCAAATTTCTAGTTTTAGAGCAAGAAAATATATCAAATTTCATGTTTTAGATAGAGAAACTATCTCAAATTTTTGAGTTTTAGAGAGAGAAACTATCTCAATTTTTGAGTTTTAGAGAGAGAAACTATCTATAATTTCTAATAGAGAGGAACTATATCAAATTTTAGAAAGAAACTATATCAAATTTCAAGTTTTAGAGAAAGAAACTATATCAAACTTTTTAGAAAGACAAACTACCGTCAAACTTTTAGAGAAATAAACTATCTCAAAGTTTTTAGAGAGACATAAGCTACCTCAAATTTCAAATTTTCAGAGAGAATTATCTAAAACTTTTAGAGAGATAAACTATCTCAAATTTTAAGTATTAGAGAGAAAAATTATATCAAAATTTTTAGAGAGAGAGTATATCAAATTTCAAGTTTTAGAGAGATAAAATATCTCAAAAATTTTAGATAGAGAAACTATCGTAATTTTTTTTTAGAGAGACTATAATGTACACAGCTCTAGTGGGAACTTGCTGCATACTGATGAAGCCTCCATCGATGACATCAACAGATACTCACAGTGTCGCATGGGGCCCTCAACATCCCCTGCAGGCAGAAAACAGGTCGCTAGAACTCATGAGTCGCAAGGGATAACACTGTTCCACTAACAATTTGGGCTATAGAGACCAGAACCAGCTTTAGCTTTTAACCAAACGGATCCCTCGCTCATTGAGAGAGGTTCATTAGCCACATGTTTGGAGTCCTCGCGACCCTAACCCATTGGGTTGATTATCCATTGCTCATAAGCCGGAGGTTAGGAGTCTTTGTGACCAAAACCCGCTCGGTTCATCTTCCGCTGCTCATAAGCCAGCGATCAGGAGTCTTCGTGACACCGCTCAGTTTGTCCTCTGCTGCTCATAAGCCGGGGGTTAGGAGTCTTCATGACCCTAACTTGCTCGGTTCGTCATCTACCGCTCATAAGCTGGCGATTATGAGTCTTCGTGACGTTAATGTGCTCAGTTTGTCATTTGCTGCGCTTAAGCCGACCGTTAGGAGTCTTCTAACCCGTTCGGTTCCTCATCCGCTGCTCGCAAGCCGGCGTTTAAGAGTTTTTGCAGTCCTAACCTATTCGGTTCATCGTCCACTACTCATAAGCCATTAGTTAGGAGTCTTCATGACCCTAACCCACTTGGTTCATCTTCTGCTGCTCATAAGCCGGCAGTTAGGAGTCTTCACGACCCTAATCTGCTTGGTTTGTCATCCGCTACTCAGAAGCTGGTGGTTGGCTCTTGTTCTCAGTCGGACCCGAAGAACCCTTCCTTGAGACCGTGGTGCGATGTGCGTGCGTGCGACTAGAACCAATAAGAGAGAGATTTAAAGTGCGAGGCAGGACTTACCTCACAAATTGGGTTCATGACACGCTCTGGCGTTTTAGCAACCCTCTTAGATCACGAATATGGAAAGCCTCCTGCCTCTCTGCTCGGTTTGGCTTTGGCTCCCTTAACTACACTGCGCCTTTTAAACACACACACATGTATAAGATGGCTAGGCGATGGGTTGACAACCCTTGGCTTGTCCTCGAAGAGATATTTAAGAGCAATAGGAGCGAGGGTGAAGATTGGTCTAATAGAGAGACATATAAAAGAAAGAAGAGGATGAAGAAAGAGAAGAAGAAGAAGAAGAAGAAGAAGAAGAAGAAGAAGTCACCCATTAATTCGACAGCCTTCTGGCACCACCTCCTCTGGCGGCATCAATGGTAGTACATGAAAGGTATCAAACCGAAGCCGAATAACCCCCGAGGATCCTTAAGATGCTATGTTTGGGGACAAACCCACTGCACTATGCACCTCAGAAGAGCCTCCTAAAGAGTTGTAACACGAATGATGAACAAAGAGATGTTTGAAACAAGAAGGGTACGGTGAGATGAAAGAGAAGAGATGATAAGATGAGAGAAGATCTCTCAGTGTTCGGTCAGTTTTCCGATGTAGACCCCCTTTTAGGAGGAATTTATAACGATAAGAGCGCGCTCTAAAGCAAAGAGAGTTGTAGATAAAAAGAAGACAAACAAAGGAGAAATGATAAAAGGAAGAGAAAACTTCTCAATGCTTGGTCAGTTTTATGATGTACACCCCCTTTTAAGAGGAATTTATCACGACATGGGCGCTGAATTTTGAAGCGAAGAGAGGTGCAATGAAAATAAGAAAGAATTGAAGAGAAGAAGGCTAAGAGAAAGAAAGGTAGGAATCAGAGTGAAGAAAGAGAGAAATA